TTTAAAGGTTAAGGTTATTGATAGAGGAAAAAAATAGAAAACGTGAAGAAGACATAACAAGATTAAAACCTGACTCACATAAGAAAGTGAGGGTAGAAGGGACTAGTCATAGAAATCAAGACCCTTAGAGCCTTATCACAAGGCATAAGGCCCAAGCAGGTGTCAGACTCCTGTGTCAGACTGCTGTAGGGTGTGACAGAAGCACAGACCTGAGGGTAAAGACACAGAGACCGGCCTGTTTTGAAATCTCTGGTCCCTTTAGGATTCCACAGTTATCCAAAATCAGCAGCAAACAGGCCCCTCCACAAAGGAGTGAGCGGCTCCCAAAGAGAAAAGGATGGTATGGGGGCAGTCTCTGCACTGGATGGGGCAGCAGTCCTTTGCCCACCTGTGACTATGCAGGTGCTTCTTTCCACCCACTCTCTCCCTCTGCAGGGCAGCAGCCTCCTGACTGCCTGTGACCTGTACCATGCCAGGGCTTCTCTGCACTGACCTCCATTAGTGGACGCAGCTCTCCTAAGGCTGCCAGCCTGCAACCAGGCAGGTCTCTCTCAGCTGTCCCTTTGGGTTAGCTCTTCCTGCCTGCTTGTGACTATATAAGTGTCCTTTACTCTTCTGTCCTTTTCCTTAATACAACTGCTCTTTAAAAAATCATCTGTGTGGGCCCTCCCTGGTGGCGCAGCGGGGTGAAGCACAGCACTAAGAAGCTTAAGTCACTTCCACATGAGTTTGATTCCCGCCTCCCCGGAGGTGACCACATGGCGCAGCAGACCTCTCCTGACCCGCCTGCTGCTCCCCTCAGCAGTGTACTTCGATGATCTGCCTGTTCTGCTCCCCACTCCATCTCTGGTGAATCCTCTCACCCTCTGCAACTCTGGCCTGTACCCCAGTTCTGTATGAAAAAATATTTAAAAAAAAATCACCTCTCTGTCTCATGGAGAAACTTGTCTAGGGAACTCTCCACATACCACTGAAATGGGGAGCTCTGGCGAAACCTTTCCTAGATGAACTCAAGGACTGCACTAACTCTAAAATTGACATCAGTTATTTCATCAAAAATCACATTGGTAATAGCAAATATTCAAGGAGCACTTACTGCATGTCACACACTATAAGTGCATTACATAAAAGCATTACATCATCAAGTCCTTAGAATATAATTTCATTATTGATCGAATAGAAAACCCAGATATAAACCCACAGCTTTACGGACAGCGAATCTTTGACAAAGGAGCAAAGAGTGTGCAATGGAACAAAGTTTATTCAACAAAAGGTGCTGGGAAAACTGGGCTACTACGTGCAAAAAAATGAAGCTAGATTAATACCTCACACCATACACAAAAACCAACTCAAAATGGATTGAAGATTATACATAAGACCCAAAACCATAATATATATGGAAGAAAGTATTGGTGAAACACTGCTTACAAACACCTTAGTAACATCTTTAAAGATACATCACCCAAAGCAAAGACAGTGAAGGAAAGGATACACAGCTGGGACTACATCAAATTAAAGAGCTCCTGTACCACAAAAGAGACATTAAACAAAACAAAGAGATGCCCCACTAATTGGGAGAAAAATTTTGCACACAATACTAATGACAAAGCGCTGATCACAAAGATCTATAAAGAGCTGGTGAAACTCAACAAAAATAACATTGACAACCCCATCAAAAAATAGGCAGAAGAGCTAAAAAGACACTTCCCCCAAAGGGAAATGCAGATGACCAACAGGCATATGAAAACATGTTCAACATCACTTGTAATAAGGGAAATGCAAATCAAAACCATAATGAGGTAACACCTAACACCAGTGAGAATGGCACATCTTCAAACAACTAGCAACAACAAATGTTGGTGAGGATGTGGAGATGAATGAACTCTTCAGCATTGCTGGTTGGAATGCAAACTTATACAACTACTATGGAAAGCTTTTTGGAGGTTTCTCAACTGCTAAAAATGAAGCTTCCACATGATCCAGCATTTATACTCCTTAGTACGTACCCAACGGACACACAAGCATTAGTCCAAAAAGACACCCGTACCCCTCTGTTTACTGCTTTATTATTTACAATAGTGAAGATGTAGAATCAACCCAAATGTCCAAAAATAGATGACTTACTGGATCAAGAAGATGTGGTACATATACACAATGGAATATTACTAAGCAATCAAAAAAAGATAAACTCATGCCATTTGTGGAAACATGGATGGAGCTGGAAGGGATCATACTTAGTGAAATAAGCCAGAAAGAAAAAGAAAAATACCCAGATGATTTCACTCAAAGCAGGAGTGTAAGGGATCAGAAAAAAAAGGCCACTGTAATAATTAAAATCAAAAATCAACAAACAACTATAAACCAGAGACATATTACAGGGGCAGAGAGGGGAATAGGATCAAAACGGGGACAGGAAGAACACACAGGACTATGGTGATGGCACATGGGTGAATTGGTGGTGGGAAGTCCACGGGGATTACAACAGAGATGAAAAAATACACAAAATGAAAAATGATGTAAAAATATGTAATTCCATTATTGCCCCCATTCAATAGTTAAAAAAAATTGAGGCACAGAGAAGTGGTAAATGGGCTCTTCAATCTCCCAAATTAGAATGATTCCAACTGAAATGGAAAAAGGCACAAAATGATTTAAAAATAAACTATTATTTATTTAAAAAATCTCTCAAATTAGAATTCTTAAAAATTATACTATGCAATTAATACCACACCTTTGAAATATATAAAGAAAAATCTGTTAGGACTACCCCTACATTTTCTTCTAATATTTTAAAGTTCTTTTTTTATGTTGGAGCTTATTCTTTATAAATGCTGTGATAGATCTAACAAATTAAATCTTTAGCCAATTGTCCCAGTGTTACACATGCGTTGCCTGGCTGTGGGTCCTCATCCATCCTCGCTCAGGACATCTTTCCCCCCTTACACCAAGAGCTTCTTTTCCACACTTACTAGTGTTGGATCCAAAGACAGGGTGACCCAATATATATACCTAAGTGGAATGTCAATTAAAAAACAAAAGATCCAAGAACGATACTTTGCCTAATTATCCATCTCCCTAAAACAGGAAATTTCTGGTGGTCCTGGAGGTAGAAGATAGCATTTCATCCTTATCATCCCAAGCTAGGGTATGCAGCATTTATTTTCTATGAATATGTAGATAAGCCCTGGAAAATTCCTTTTCTTTAAATTGCAAAATTCTTTGTTCCATTTTATTGCTCCCTTTCTGGAGACTATATAATTGTCCCAGAAGGTGGGTTCATATTTTTAGGACCCTCATGCAAATTGAGTTTTATCTTTCATCCTGATAATTTCTTTTGTGCCATTTTAATTACTTGCCAGCTTACAAGCCTAGAAAGTTAGAGGAAGATTAACTTCCTCTTCAGCATTTGAAGTATTCTATTTATAACACATTGAGTGTTCATAGATACCTGAGTGTCCTTCTGAATAATTTTGACTTGTCTAATCCTGTTGAGGGACAGACCTTAACAAAAAGATAGAGACCGGGGGCATTGGGAGACACAAGAGGAGGGATAAGGGCTGGGACCACAGGGACATGGGATCCCAGGAAGACAAAACAGGAGAGAAAATGTTACAGGACAGGGAGAGAGGCACCCCAGAATTCCCCTACCTGCCTGCCATCTGCTGAATCAAGACAAAACATGTAAGACCTTTAATGCTAGGAAACTTTAATAACTGTGCAATGAAGACAATATGAAGAATATAGTTTCTAATCTAGCACCCAAAGTTAACCCATCCTCTTGTGGGTAAATGCCCAGCCAAACAGCGTTAACCCAAAGTAAGGCCTGAGAGACCCCAGCCTAAAGCATCTTCCTTTGGTAACCCATAGAAAAGGATCAGCAACAGTAACACAAGTCTGGGAGGGCTTGCTATTTATCCTTCAAGACCCACTTTCAGCCATGCCAAATTTCTTGATTTCCCCTCCAAATCCCATCAGTTAAAAAAATTCTGTTAATGGAGCACATACTATAATACACTGAGTTAGTTTTATTGGAGTGGATCAACTTCATTACTCTGTTTCCACATCTCCCCTCCAGTTTTCTACTTGGAGCGCTCTTGTAACCAGAGAACCTGGTATGTAGCAATTGATGGTATATAGATCCCATGTATAGTGAAGGAAAAAATACATTACAAACTTGTAATATAAAGAATATCAGGGATCTCGTTATATAAAGAGTTAGAGATGGAATGAAACACTCGCTCCCCCCAAACTTCCTATGTATAGGTATTTTCAATACTACATATAAGAAATACAGTTAAAAAAATCATACTATTGTCTAGAACAATGTCTTGTTCCTTATTGTAGTTATAAAGGCAAGTGTAGAAAAAAACTGTTTTAGAAGATACTATACTGAAAAACAAATCTATGCTACGGACATGTTTTTGTAGGTTATTTTATGAAGCCAGAGGAAAATGGCAGAGGGGGGAGAAGAGGCGGCTCAGTAAAGTTAAACATCCAACATCCCCAAGAGCCAGTGAGCCCCGCCCCACCCCCACCGCCTATCAGATTTAAGCTCCGCCCCAACTCGATCCTGGGCTTAGGGCCCCGCCCCAACTTCACTCTCCAGGTGCAGTCGAACTGCCCCTCAAACATCCCCTAAGGTCTGCCTCACCAAACCCACACACTCCGGAATAGCAGCAACTAGAACTTCCCTTCTGCGGTTGCATAGTAAAGGGGGTAAGCTTTCCACCCCCCGCAGAAGCACCCCAGTGCTTCCGCTCCCGGCTATCCCGAAACCGGAAGCGGAAGTGCGGGGGCGGTGACTGGCGGCGGCGCGGACGTCGCGGCGCCGGGCGGTGGGCGTGTCTAGGGCCGGTTTACAGGTGTGGCCCAGCCCCCCGGGGTGAGGGAGGGCGGCGAGGGGGCGGTGGGTACGGGGAGGGGCCGGAAGGGCCTGGACCGCCTCCGGGTCCTGGTGCTTCTTCCTCGTGGTCCCTGGGCGCTGCGGCAGGGCTCACACCCCTCTGCCTCACTGCCTGGCGTCCCCAGCCGCGTCCTCCCCTCCCAGGTACACCCGGCGGAGTAGACGAGACTGTCATGCATTCATCCACAGGGACACCATGAAGTTTACTTATTCAGGTTTTGCAGCTCGGTCACGGTGATACCGGCCGATTCTTATCTCTCACCCCACCTCCCCTTACTTGTAGGACCCATTCTCTCGCCTGTTGCAAGATAACTATTTATTAGTAATTCTCCTTTTAGTTCATATAATCTGAGCCACATGTGTAAATCGATGAGTAACTTGGCAAGTGAATTTGAAAAATGGAAAGCATCGTCTATCAAGGGGGTTATTAGGTAGCTTAGGACCGTTAATTTAGCTTTCATTTCCTTTTCCTTTGTTTTCTTTCTACTAAAAGAGCTTTTAATTTGTGATTTTTATTTTGACCGTGGGCATCAATTCTCACCTCTCACGCCTCCCTTTACTGGGAGGTGAGAATGTCTTAACAACTTTCTCAGTTATGTTACAGTCTTATAAAGGAAAAGTAAAAGAATATATACACTTTTTCCCAGGTCGACTGTTACCCTAATTCTGTAAATTACAGTCAAAACCATATGAAGGAAAAGGTGATAAAAGCGTTTTCAGTACTCAGTATTTAAATTGAGCTTACCATAACTAAGATGCCTTTTTTAAAATAAAAGGGTTGAAGTTCTCGTCCACTGCGAAATGAGGTAAGACTTTTGGAGGAAAATTATATACCACATTTTGACTTAAGAGTGTTTTTTTTTTTCAAAAAAGAATTTGTGTTCCCCTTCCCTTTTTAGAAAGAACTGACAGTTTCTTAGTGCTCTCTGAAATCTAGTAGTGTTATTTATATTAAACAGGCATTTTAAGTAATTTTTATATTTGATTTTTGTGGTGTATTGTTTTGGTGTGTGTGTATATGTGTATGCAGGCATATGCCTTCCTTAGTCTAGCTATACTGAGTTAATCTTAGGTATTTTAGTTGATTGACACATTTTCATTGGGGTTATCTTTAGTGAACTGGTCCTTTGGGGTGGTAGAGAAGGGAAAGGCTGGGTCAATCAATGTAATTCAAATGGAGTGGGTACTTAACCCTTGAGGTTTTATTCTGGCTGGGAAGACAGATTTTAAATTCATAATGATGAGCTTGATATGGGAACATAAAACGGGATTTTGGGGAGGAATACATCTTAAAAGGGACAAATGTTTGAACCTAAAAGTTGTAATCAGATAAGGGTTTGGGCTGTGGAATTAAGGAATCTCCTCTCTCTGAGGAGATTTGGGAGTACATTCCAGATGTACAATTGCTCAGGAAGTGCAAAGCTTGCAAAAAACAAACAAACAAACAAACAAACAAACAAAAAAAAAACCCACAGAAAGATAATATAGGGATAACGAAATATAGAATGGATAAATCAGGCTTTAGAGGAAGGCAGGATCCTGAAGTCATGGGGAATTTTGGACCTTCTTCTAAGGTGTTTGCAAAGCCACTGAATCAGAATTTTGTTTGGGGAATGAGATGACTTTGTTATTTGAACAAAACACGCTTGTGGGTTGAGCCTGGAGTTTAGGATGGACTAGATGGAATGGGTAATCATATATAGGAAAAGACTCCATATATTTAGTAGTTTGAATAAATTCTGGACTCAGATGATGGTAGTTGAAACTTGATAACAGTTGTGGTATTGGAAAGTTTGGATGTTTGAGACATGTAGGAGGTATAATTTAGAGAATTTGGGCCCAATATTGAGCTAAATTCCATGTAAGGCTTTTTCATCTGAGTGCTGGTACCTCACAAAAATGTAGTTACTGTGATTGATCCCAGATTGGTATACTTCTTTGACCTTCTTGGACAACATTCTCTTTTATTTCAGGGAGGATGCCTGAAATAAACCCTGGCTCTGGTGTTACGGTGAGTGTGTTGGATGAATCAGGACAGTGGTATTGGGGGTGGAAATTATGTACTTTGGGCCCTTTTCCCTCTGGAGAGCTCTTTAGTGCATGACTTCTAGAGGAACTGGCATGGGAGGAGGGGGTCCCACAGTGACATGTGACTCTGTCCGAACACTAAACTCTGACTGCAGACCAGGCCTCCTTTAGAGCCAGTGGCAGCAGAGCTCCTCGCTGCTATCCCTTGTGAGACCTGCTGAGCATATGTTGCTGTATAAATTCAAATTATTTATTTATTTATCACATATGAAGCATTTATTTATTCAAATTTGTTGATACATTTCCCCCCAATTTGTTAGCTGCAGTGTATTGGTATTACAAGAGCCTATTTCTAGCTTCTCCCTAAAAAACATCTTGTACTCTCACCTGTTCTTTTTTTTTAAATAACTTATTTATATATATATTTTATAACATTGTTCACTTTTTAAAATAATGTTTGCTTTTTTTAAAAAAAATTTATTTATTGGCCCTCCCTGGTGGCACAGCGGGTTAAAGCACAGCACTGAGAATCTGAGGCCACTTCCGCATGAGTTCGATTCCCGCCTGCCGCCTGCCCCGGAGGAGACCACATGGCGCGGCAGACCTCTCCTGACCCGCCCGCTGCTTCCCTCAGCAGTGTACTTTGTTGATCTGCCTGTTCTGCTCCCCACTCTGTCTCTGGTGAAGCCTCTCACCTCCCCTGAGCCTCTGGCCTGTACCCCAGTTCTGTATGCACAAATAAATAAATAAATCTTTAAAAAAAATTATTTATTTATGCATACAGAACTGGGGTACAAGCCAGAGGTGCAAGAACAGCTAAGAGGATTCACAGGTGATAGAGTGGGGTGCAGAATAGGCAGATCGATAAAGTACACTGCTGAGGGGAGCAGCGGGCAGGTCAGGAGAGGTCTGCCACGCCATGTGGGTCACCTCCCTAGCTGGGGATCAAACTCATAAAGTGGCTGTGGCTAGCTTCATAGTGCTGTGCTTTAACCGGTTGTGCCACCAGGGAGGGCTTTACAATGTTTGCTTTCTTTTGGTGTAGTCCTTATAGGATTTCCACCACCAATTCACCTGTGCACATACCACAGTCCCTTTTGTTCTTCCCACCCTCATTTTGATCCCTCTCTTTCCCATTCCCCTAGAGAATGTTTCACATTTATAGTTGCTTGTTTATTTTTGGTTGTTTTGTAGTGTTTTTTATTGTTATTATTTTCCCTTGACCTCTTCCTATAAGGGAAACCATCTGATATTTTTCTTTACCCTTTTATTTTATTGAGCATAATCCTTTCTAGCTCCATCCATGTTGCTGCAAAAGGCATGACTTTATCTTTTTTGATTGTTGAGTAGTATTCCATTGTGTATTTACATTACATCTTCTATATTGAGTCACCTATTTGGGGCATTTGGGTTGTTTCCAAGTCTTACCTATTACAAACAGTGCTGCAATAAACTTAGGGGTGCAGTTATTTTTTGTAATTATTAAGTTTATTTGTTTTTACATTATTCTTCATTTTGTGCATTTTTTCATCCTGGTTATAATCCCTGTAGACTTCCCACCACCAGTTCATCCATGTCCATCACTGCAGTCCCGTGTCCTCGTCTCACCCCAGTTTTGTTTTTTTCCCCCTGTCCACCCTTGAACATGGCTCTGCTTTATAGTTTTGTTGTTTTTCGTTTTTACTTTATTATAATTGCCTTTTTCTTTTTTCCTGATCCCTTATGCTCCTGCTATGAGTGAAACCATCTGGTATTTTTCTTTTTCTTTCTGGAATATTTCACTAAGCATGATCCCTTCCAGCTTCATCCATGTTGCTGCAAAAGGCATGAATTTATCATTTTTGATTGCCGAGTAATATTCCATTTTGTATCTGTACCACATCTTAATCCAGTCATCTATATTTGGGCATTTGGGTTGATGCCACATCTTCCCTATTGTAAATAAAGCAGCAATAAACATAGGGGTGCAGGTGTCCTTTTGAATCAGGTTTTGTGTCCTTTGTAGCTGGTGCATGTATTCTTTTGAATTAATGTTTTTGTGTCCACTGGGTAGAACCCTAGGAGTGGAATTGCTGGGTCATATGGTAGCTCCATTTATAGTAGTCTGAAGCACCTCCATACAACTTTCTATAGTGGTTAGGACAGTTTGCATTCCCACCAGCAGTGTAGGAGAGTTCCTTTTTCTACACATCCTCGCCAACATTTCTTGTTTCCTGTTGCTTTAAAACGTGCCATTCTCACTGGTGTAAGATAGCCTCGTAATTGTGGTTTTGATTTGCATTTTCCTAACTATGAGAGATATTGAACATTTTTTCATATGCCTTTTGGCCATTTGCACTTCCTCTTTGGTGAAGTGTCTTTTAAATTCTTCTGCTCATATTTTAAAAAAAAAGATTTATTTATACATACAGAACTGGGGTACAGGCTAGAGGTGTAGGGGTGGTGAGAGGCTTCACTAGAGACAGAGTGGGGAGCAGAACAGGCTGACTGACGAAGTACACCGCTGAGGGGAGCAGTGGGCAGTTCAGGAGAGGTCTGCCGGGCCATGTGGATCACCTCCAGAGAGAGGATCAAACTCATGCTGAAGTGGCTTTAGCTTCTTAGTGCTGTGCTTTAACCCACTGAGCCACCAGGGAGGGCCCTCTTCTGCTCATTTTTTTTTTTT